TGCATGCATGTATATATATATATATATATATATATATATATATATATATATATATGCACGCATGCATGCATGCATGCATGCATGCATGCATGTATATATATTTATTTGTTGAGTATTTGCATGCGTATGAATTCTTCATCATCTTCTCTCCATGGGTTCCACTGTATCCCCTTAAACTTAAAGGGGGCGAGAGGAGACAGAAAGAGGAGTCTCTTGATGGTTAATACTTCTTCTTTTGCTGGTCTTTTTGTTTGTTTATATATACGTATTGCATGCAGCAGCCTATTAGCTAGTTTTATACTAAAAGCAACAGTTTGTCTCGTGGTGTTTTTTCCTTTTTTTGTATATTCATATATATAATTTGTATTAAAAGCGGAGACAAAACGACCCCACCNGTGTTTTTTCCTTTTTTTGTATATTCATATATATAATTTGTATTAAAAGCGGAGACAAAACGACCCCACCAAAGGGGCAGCTGCATGCGCTCTCTAAATAAATATATAGAACATATAATATAATCAAGGGCCAGTGCATGCAGCCCCAAAACAGGCACAGCAACAGATGCTCTTGTTGTTTTTTTACTTAGTTTAGCTCTTGAGTAAGCCCCATTGGCAATGGTCTCTATACACTTGAGGAGACAGTCTGCATCGTGCTGGTTAAGTGTCTCCTTTTTCAGCAGCGCGCGTGCGTGGACCAGTGCGGACTGGACCAATGGTCCTCTCTTTCTCCTACCGAAGACAGCAGCAGGCTGCAGCAGCCGAGGGCTTACACCTGTCTCCACCACAGGGAGACGAACATATGGGTGGTTGTCGTAGTTTATATGGCTGCTTACTATACGCGGGTCTTCTATACCCTCCAGCATCTTGCTGCTGCTGCTCATGCTGCTGCTGCTCTTGCTGCTGCTGCTCCACATACCTGCAGCACCCTTCATGCTGCTGCTGCTGCTGCTGCTGATGCTGCCCCCATCCTCCACCTCCTCCTCCTCCTCCTCCTCATCTGTCTCTTCTTCTTCTCTACCCTCAGACATCTTGCTGCTGCTAGCAGCTCTTTTGCTGCTGCTGCTGCTGCTGCTGCTGCTCTTTGCATGCGCCTGCAACCCAGAGGGCCCTTCCCCTCCTGTGTCTCCTCTCCGTACCCTCTTTCCCTCTGTCTCCCCGCTGTCTCCTCTGCTGTCTCCTCTCCTGTCTCCTCTGCTGTCTCCTTCTCCTGTCTGCTCCAGCCAGGTGTCAGGCTGCACAGCAGCAGCAGCAGCAGCAGCAGCAG